CATGACCCCGAGATCATGACCTGAGCTGAAATCAAGAGTCAGACACTTAACCAGCTGAGCCACCTCGTGCCCCTAGAGTTTTTCTAATTAAAAAAAAAAAAAAAAAATTGTAACAGTAAATAGATACTAACCTTAAGCCACTAAATTACTGATTTTCTTTTCTAGAATTCAGCATACAATTGAAATAAAATGACAACCTCCTGGAGTGATCGGTTACAGAATGCAGCCGATATGCCTGCTAACATGGATAAGCATGCCCTGAAAAAGTATCGGCGAGAAGCCTATCATCGGTAAGTATTCTGTCTATTTAATCCTCAAAACATCTCTACAGCAACTCGTAATTACTCATTTGTTTCTAAGCTAGAGGAAAGAGGAAATACTTGGTATTTTATACTTACTCAATTTGTTTGTCTTTATGCTACATACATTTGGCTATGATGTAAGATATTTATCAGTGGAAACAAGGGCCAGAATTATGCAATGAAGAGAGATCATCTAGTATACATCAGGTGTCGTAATTGTATTTAATATGTCATAGCCTGAATGCTTCTGACTCATTTAGAATGATATTTCCTGGAAAATTTTAGACTCTGCACCCTACTTTCTTCATATGGTAGAGTGCAATCTGAAATAATAGAAATAGTAGGAAAAACAGCTTCAAGGATTTAAATTTTTAGATCATTTAAAACTTTTTTTTTCTTTTTTCTTATTGTGGTAAAATATACATAACATAAATTTGTCATCTTAACTGTTTTTAAGTGTATACTTCAGTGGTAGTAAGTATATTCACACTGTTGTGTGCAGCCATCACCAGTATCCATCCCCATAACTTCATTTTGTACAATTGATACTATATCTATTAAACAATAAGTCTCCGTTCTCCCCTCCTCCAGCCCCTGCCAACCAACCACCATTATACTGTCTGTCTTTATAATTTTGACTATTCTAAGTACTTCATATAAGTGGAATCATACAGTATTTGTCTTTTTGTGACAACCTTAGCATAATGTTCTCAAGGTTCATCCATGTTGTAGCATATTGCAGAATATCCTTTTAATGTAAAATTTGGGTTCTTGAATTCTTGCAGGAATTTGCTTTTGTTAGTTAAAAAATTTTTTTTAAAGATTTTATTTATTTGACAGAGGCAGCGAGAGAGGGAACACAAGCAGAGGGAGTGGGAGAGGGAGAAAGCAGGCTTCCCGAGGAGCAGGGAGCCCGATGCGGGGCTCAATCCCAGGACCCTGGGATCATGACCTGAGCCGAAGACAGAGGCTTAACTGACTGAGCCACCCAGTTGCCCCTGTTAGTTAAAAATTTTTAATAGAAACCATTTAAAAGGAAATTATCTTAGTTTTATAGTTAAGTCAATTTGTAGAATATTCTGTTTCTGGGGCTTTTTATTAAAGACATTTATTGGAGTTGGTAATTTATCATTGGTTACTGTGATGATCACTTGTCATAAACTACATTGTATGTGATGCTTTAGAATTCCCTTTTTAGAAGAAGCTAAATATTTTTAGTTAAGTAAATAAACGTCTAACTTCCGGCTTTTTTCTTGCTAATATTAGTCTTTTAAAAATGATGGTCATGAGTCATTAAGAAACTGGTTTTCAGAAGGTATGACTGTTGATCTTCTTCCGTTTCCTTATTATGGTTGTTGAGTCTTCTAGGGTGAGGATAATCATTGGGCCAAACCCTTCACTGGAATAGTTTTGCTGTATGGTCAGAAGATAGGCTGAGCTGCTCAGGTGTTACAGTGGCTTGAAGGAGGCAAGTTAGACAATTATCTCCTAAATAGTTTCTTGTTTAACACCTAGAATCTGACAGTGATCAAAATAGATCAGAATTTGTATCTACCATATCCAGCAATGGAACAATTAGATTTTTCATCTGCTCTCCATGTTTGTACCCAGGATGCTGAAGTCAGGTATTTGGTTTTTTCCTTTATTTTGATGATTATAGTGTAGAAGAATTTCTGTAAGTGAATTGGTTCTTTCTTTATGAATGCAGCTTATGAATTCAGCAGTGGTTTTTATCATGTTGAACTGAAATTTGATAAGTAATTGGGCTTGTGAATTTTTGGTTAAGCAGTCTCTTGCCTTATTTTATTTTATTTTATTTATTTTTTTTTTTTAAAGATTTTATTTATTTATTTGAGAGAGTGTAAGTGGGGGGGGGGAGGGGCAGAGGGAGAGAGAATCCTCAAGCACATTCCCTGCTGAGCGTGAAGCCCAACTC